TGCTGCGCAGTGAGTTCTCAAGCCTCATCTTGCCAACTGGGTTGTTTAAAGAAATTAATTAAGAGAGGAGGACTCGATCTGAATTGACCGCTACCTCTGGGGATCCCTAGCTGAGCCTACTTTGTGGCACATGATACTTTTTACTCCCCACCTCTGCCAGCTGTATCCACTTTGTGGGACGGGATATTTAGTTTTAGCCCCCACCTCTGCTCTGGGGAGCCGTACCCACTTCACGGGATGGGATATTTTACTTTTTTTTAGCGGCTGGGCTCTCTTGTGGGCATCCATTTCACAGACTCAACAGCTGCTTGCAGCAGACTGGGAGGGCACCTGGAGGGTGAAGTCACCTAGTTCCACTTCGCTTCTCAAGCAGGGCCACCTGCAGCCTGTTGCCCATGACCACGTCCAGAGGATTGCAGAACACCTCCAAGGATAGAGACTCGTACAAGCTCTGCAGACAGCCAACCCAGGTCTCTTGCGATGGCAGCATGACCTTGTGGCCCTAAATGCAGCTCCTCCCAGCCTGCTGTCAACTGCCAACTTGCTGAGGATGTACTCTGCCTGTCAGCCGGACCATTACTTAAGGAAGATGGTGAACAGGATGGCAATCAGGCCCAACCCCTGGGTGCCAGCGCTAGTTCCTGGCCTCCAACTAGACTTTGTGCCTCTGAGCAGCACCCGCTGGGCCCAGCCATTCAGCCCCTTTCAGTCCTGCTGGCTGTCAGTTCCTCCAGCCCAGTCCCCTTCAAGTCTCTTCTTTCAAGAGAAAAGCCTGAAAGACAGGCAGTCGCCAGCATACAGCTTTCCAACTACCATCACAGAACCCTTCCCACCTGCCCAGAAGAAACACCCCCATTAATTCCACATGCCAACCAACAAGTGTTTTTAATTCCAGATCTGTCTTTTCTGCCTGTTGGCCAGGGGACGGGCAGGCAGTTGGCAGCGTCCCATCCTCCTCGGCATGACTCCCATCATCCTCATCACTTCTTTGGCTTCTTTCTCTCAGGTGCTGAATTCCTCCTCCTCCTTTTCCAAGCAGAGTCCGTGAAATCCACAGATGTGTTGTGGAAATCACGGCCCAGGCCCCGATGCAGGGACCTGCTCCGCACCCTTTTCTTTGCCTGGGTTTGCTGCTGAGCAGCACGGGCTGGCAGAGCCCTCAGGGAGCTGCTGTTGGAGGGCTCTGCAGCTGCCTCATTCCTGGGAGCAGCGTCAGGAAGAGGATGATCATGCCTCGTATTCCTCCCTGCTGAGCTGTTGTGGTCCATGACGCTCACATACCAGGGGTGGTGATCACCACCCCACTGTGGGGATCTGCTCCGGGCCTGCTCCCTGACACTGCTCTTCTGCCACTGGAAAGAAGGGCCAAATCCGTGCCACCCCTTGCTGCTGTCTCTGGGCCTGCGGTGCCACCCATGGTGAGGTGGGTAGATGTGGACCAGGCAGACGCGTTCCCTTATGCACCAAGAGCAGTCCGTGCTGCTCCACCAGAAAGGGCAGGAAGGGACAAGGTGACTGCCATCAAGGGATTGCTGGTCAGTGCTGGGTGTGACAAGGAAAGTGCCCTGCTGGGATTGCTGAACAGTGCTGGGTAGTAAAGTGTAAGAGCCCTGCTGGATATGCTGGCCAGGGATGGCTCGTGCAAAAGTGGAGTGGGCACGTGGTGGTCCCAGGAAGAGAGAAGACTTCTGTACAGGTTGCATATCAGAGAGCCTGGATCCCTGGCCAGTCCTTTCTGGTCCTAAGAAACTGCCTTGCTGGGATTGCTGGCCAGTGCTGGGTGTGACAATGAAATTGCCGTGCTGAATTTGCTGGCCAGTAACGGCTGGTGCCCAGTGTATGCCCTGCTGCTGGCCAGGGATGGGTGTGACAAGGAAAGAGCCCTGCTGGATTTGCCGGCCAGGGATGGCTTGTGCAAAAGTGGAGTGGGCACATGGTGGTCCAGGGGAGAAAGAAGCCATCTGTTCAGGTTGCAGACTGGGGTGCATGGATACCTGGCCACTGCTGATTGATCCAAGAGACCTGCCATCCTGGAACTGTTGGCCAGTGCTGCCTGGTCCAAAGTCACTGCTAGGAAAGAATTGCCGCCCAGTACCGGCTGGTACAATGTAAGCGCCCTGCTGGGATTGCTGACCAGTGCTGGTGTGAGCAAAGACACTGTCAGAAAGGGATAGCTGGCCAATAGTGCCTAGTGAAAAACTGCAGTAGGGACAAGATGGTCCCAGGGAAGAAGATGATGATTGTAAAGGTTGCAGATTATAGGAGAGCCCGAGTCCCTGGCCACTTCTGACTGGTATAAAGTCACGGCCAAGAAGGGATTGCTGGGCAATAGTGGCTGGTGGAAATGGTGTGCCATGGTGGGATTGCTGACCAGTGCTGTCTGGAGCAAAGACACTGTCAGAAAGGGATAGCTGGCCAAGAGTGCCTAGTGAAAAAGTACTGTGGGGACAAGATGGTCCCAGGGAAGAAGAAGATGATTGTAAAGGTTGCAGGTAATGAGAAAACCCAAGTCCCTGGCCAGTGCCGCCTGGTCCAATGTCACTGGCAGGAAGGGCTTGCTGGGCAATAGTGGCTGGTGGAAATGGTGTGCTATGGTGGGATTGCTGGGCAATAATGGCTGGTGCAGAAGTGCAGTGGGCACAAGATGGTCCCAGGGAAGAAGATGATGTTTGTAAAGGTTGCAGATCATAGGAGAGCCCGAGTCCCTGGCCACTTCTGACTGGTATAAAGTCACGGCCAAGAAGGGATTGCTGGGCAATAGTGGCTGGTGGAAATGGTGTGCCATGGTGGGATTGCTGACCAGTGCTGTCTGGAGCAAAGACACTGTCAGAAAGGGATAGCTGGCCAAGAGTGCCTAGTGAAAAAGTACTGTGGGGACAAGATGGTCCCAGGGAAGAAGAAGATGATTGTAAAGGTTGCAGGTAATGAGAAAACCCAAGTCCCTGGCCAGTGCCGCCTGGTCCAATGTCACTGGCAGGAAGGGCTTGCTGGGCAATAGTGGCTGGTGGAAATGGTGTGCTATGGTGGGATTGCTGGGCAATAATGGCTGGTGCAGAAGTGCAGTGGGCACAAGATGGTCCCAGGGAAGAAGATGATGTTTGTAAAGGTTGCAGATCATAGGAGAGCCCAATTCCCTGGCCACTTCTGACTGGTATAAAGTCACGGCCACGAAGGGATTGCTGGCCAGTGCTGGCTGTTGCAAAGGGTGTGCCATGGTGGGGTTGGTGGGCAATAATGGCTGGTGCAGAAGTGCAGTGGGCACAAGATGTTCCCAGGGAAGAAGAAGATGTTTGTAAAGGTTGCAGATCGTAAGAGAGCCCGAGTCCCTGGCCACTTCTGACTGGTACAAAGTCACGTCCTGTGCTGGCTCGTGCAAAAGTGGAGTGGGCACATGGGGGTCCCAGGGAGAAAGAAGCCCTTTCTAGAGAGTGCAGATCAAAGCAGCTGGACAGCTGGCCTGTGCTGGCTGATTCTAAAGAGCTGCCATCTTGGAAATTTTGGCCAGCACTGGCTGGTGCAAAGTCTCTGCCAGGCTGGATTTGCTGCCCAGTAGTGGCTGGTGCCGGTTGCAGATCATAGGAGAGCCCAATTCCCTGGCCACTTCTGACTGGTATAAAGTCACGGCCACGAAGGGATTGCTGGCCAGTGCTGGCTGTTGCAAAGGGTGTGCCATGGTGGGGTTGGTGGGCAATAATGGCTGGTGCAGAAGTGCAGTGGGCACAAGATGTTCCCAGGGAAGAAGAAGATGTTTGTAAAGGTTGCAGATCGTAAGAGAGCCCGAGTCCCTGGCCACTTCTGACTGGTACAAAGTCACGTCCTGTGCTGGCTCGTGCAAAAGTGGAGTGGGCACATGG